GGGGGGGGGGCGCAGGCTGAGGTCCAGCCAGGGGTCTCCCCCACCCAGCTCTGCCTCACACCGCTGCTTGCCGCCGCCACAGTCCACTGAGTTCAGGTCCTGCAGCCAGGCTGGTGTCCTTGCCCTCTGTCTCTCCTCTAGGCATAGGACAGCCCCACTGTCCAGAGCCAGGTAGGGCTCCCAGTGGGGAGCTCCGCATGGCCTCGGGAAATAACTCGCAGGGACACTTTAAGGCCTGGGATGAACTTGAAGTCCCCCCACCTCCCACCCCGATAGGGCCCCAAGGGCTGCCAAACAAGCTGTTTACTTCACAGGTGCCCAGCCCAGGGCGGGGGCCTGGAATACAGCCCCCGCTCGCCCCACTGACAGCCTGGGCCGCACCAGACCAGCCACTACATTACTTATTGAGTCACATGCCTTGGCGGCCACCCAGATAAGAATGTCGTTCTCCCTTCATCCCCTCGGCAACATGCTCCTGCCCTTGCAGCCCCCAGAGGGACGGGTGTCGCTCGTGATTCAGCTTGCTCTGTTTTGGAGAAGACCCTCAGACCCATTTCACAGATGTGGCAGCTGGGGCTCAGACGGAATGCCCAAGGGCACCAGGTAGAGCTGGAGCTGGAGCCTGGGGGTATTCTGTCTGAGTCCAACCTCTACGCCTGTTCCTCCCCAAGCTTAGGGTCGGTGTGAGGGCCAAAGGAGATTGCAAGTGTCTTAGCCCCAGGGGCCCCCACTCCCGGGTGCAGTGGGGCCAGACTCTTCTGTAAGTAGAACCAGCATCGGGCACAGAGGCCCTGGCTGCAGAGGGGCCCCCGACACATACCTCCCAGGGCTTCCCAGAGCTCTGTCACGCCTCGAGGATGATCCAAAGGTCAGAGGAGAGAGGCAGAGCTGGGCAGTGAACTGTTCAGTCTGGTCACCCAGTGCCTACTCTGTGCCAGGCCCTAGGTCCCTGAGGTTGGACCCCCCCAAGGCATCCCAGGCCTTCTTCGCCCCCAGACTTAGTCTTCCCAGGCTGGTCCAGCCCTGGCCAGAAGTAGGCTCAGCAGGTGGGGGCTCTGGTGGCCTTGCTGGAACCTTCCAAGCCAACTTTTTTTGCAGCTGCTCAGGTCACACTCAACTCCTGGTAAGGCCTGGGCCCGCCTCCACTTTCCTGTCTGCCACCCCTAGTCAAGGGGAGTGTGGCTCCCATCAGGGTGGCTGGTACCTTGACAGGGTGGGGGTGATGAGGTGTGAAATCAGATCACCAAGAGAGCAGGACTCCCTGATAGCTCTTGGGGAGAGGGGTGAGGGTACCTCCTCCTGGAGTCTGGAGGGCAGCAAAGGGTGGGTAGCTATCACCCCCTTGGGTTCATGATCAAACCTGGGCTCTGGGAAGTGGAATGACTTGGCTGAGACCGGTGGTGGCGGAGGAGTCAGCGGGTGAGCCTGTGTCTGCCTCTCCTAGTCCCTGCGGTCTGCACTCTGGGCAGGGGCCTCAGGGGCCATGGCTATGAGTCAGAAACCACCGTCTCTGATAGAGGGGCCCCCCAGCTCTGCTGAGATTCCGCTGACTCGGGCAGGGCCTCTTGGGGAGGAAGGAAGGGCCTGTTCAGCAGACTTGGCTATTGTGGGGGTTGCTGGGGGCCAGGGTACTTCCGGCCAGGAGGTGCTGAGCCCCCAGCTCTGGGGAGGACAGCAGTAGGGGGTCCTGCAGTTTCGTTTCCCTAGGCAGGGATTCAGCTTCCCTGTTTCAGAGGGTATTTACAGAATGGAAGGGGGCCCTCGGCTGGGGCAAGAGGACCCAGATACAGCAGCCCCCAAACCAGACTGAGTACATGCATGTGTGCACGTGTGTGTGCTAGCCTGAGGATCCGTGTGTTCCTGTGTCGTGTGTACACATGTCTGTGTCGCAGTAGCAGGGACAGGCTGGAGGTGGGCCTACTGAGTCCCACCTCTGAGCCCCAGGAAGTAGAGGCATCCCCGGGCCCCCTTGGTTCTGGCATCCATCCCTGACAGGCTGTGTGACTTGGGGAGAGTCGGCGCCCTCTCTGGGCCTAGGCTGTCTTGGCCCCCTGGCAGCTGGGAGGAGTAAAGGAGGAGAGAAGGGGCAGGCCAAGCCAACTTCTTCACTGCGGTTGGGGAAACTGAGGCCCAGAGAGGGGTCAAAACCTGAGTCAACCCACAAAATTGTAAGGCTTGACCCAGGAGAGCCACACGTGACCTGGGAGCCACTCCTAAGGGCTCCTGTCCGGTGGCTTTGGAGCCCCTGCCTGAACACTCACCGTCCTCAGCAGGCTCCGCCTCCCCTTCGGCCTTTGCTCACCGCCCTCCTGCTGCTTTCTCGTCACCCTCCTCACAGCCTGCTCCTTTATCCCAGCCCTCGCCAGGACCACCTGCCCATTCCTGCCCAACAATTCCCAGGGAATCAGGACGACCATATGCCCCCTTATTCCCTCAACCTCAGGGCATAGCCCAGGCTCTGCGGGGTGAGGAGCCCACCAAAGCAAGACTGGGGGTAATGGAAGTGGGCCTCCTGGTTAAAGACCGGGGAGAGAGCAAGAGGCTGGTCGCAATGAACCAGATATGCTCTGTTTACTGATCTCTACCCCACACTTCTCCGTAAAGCCTCCCATCACTCAGCTCTGCCCTGCTTTACTGTGTCAACTCAGTCTAGCCTGGTCCTGTCTCTAGGCCTCAGTTTCCCCATATGTCAGACACAGTGATCTTCTCCTGGGGGTCTAGAGCAGGGAAGACAGCTGCGACCACCTGTGCCAAACCCTTCCTGTGCTCAGAGCAGACATCGCCCATCAACCGCAGCACTGCTTCCTACTGATTCCCCACAGCAGCAGAGTTCTTGTCAATTATGTACGTCAGGCAATTCGCCAGATCTGGGCTCAAGATCAGGTCACTTCGGGTCAGACAAACAGCTCCCCAAACCAGGTGTGAGTGGTGCAGTTAGAAACAGCTTTGTATTTTGGGAGCCTAAGTATAGATCTAATATCAGGGAGTGCTTTCTCACCACAGGAGCTGCCCAACCTTATGGGGGTGAGTTCTCCGTCACCAGACATATCCAAGTAGAGGGTCAACAAATCTGTCAGGAGGATGCATAGGGGACTCTGGCACCCAGAGAGATGGCCTAGCAGCCCAGAGGTCCTGTCCAGCAGGGGGACAGTTTAGACAAAGACGCCAGGAGCAGGGTCTGTGCAGTCCTGGATGGGATGCCTGCCTTTCATGGACCACTGAGCACCTGGGCAGCAGTGAGACAGAGGGGCTGTGGAGGTCGGGCGCTGGAGATGGGCAGAGCAATCACAGAAGGGTGCAGCTCTGGGAGGCCAAGGTCCAGCTTATCAGCTTCTTCTTCCAGGCAGTATAGGGTGGGTACTGGATTTCATTGAGCTTCTCCAGGCCCGAGCAGGAGAGCAGGCAGGCGCGCTGATGGGAGAAGGTGTCGAAGGAGAACTTGCCGTGGTATCTTCCCATCCCGCTGTTGCCTGCATGGGCACGGAAGTGAGGGTCCGAGGCCGGGCAGCCCACCCAGCCTCAGCAGCACCCATTGCCGACCCCCGGCAGCGAGCTCAAGGAGACCCAGGCCATTCTAAGAGCCATTTTGCAGATAGGGAAACTGAGGCTTTGAGAGGCCCAAGGCCTGGACCAAGGTTAACAGCGAGTGAAGGCCAAACTGGGCTTTCCTGGGTCTGGGGTACCAATGCAGGCTTCCCTGGGGTGGGGGCTGGAGGGTGAAGGAGGGCAGGGCTCACCGACTCCCCCCATCGGCATGGATGACAGACTCAGGTACTTGAAGCCATCATTGCCTCCGAAGCTGCCGCTGCTGGTTGACTCCAGCATCTGGTTCACGACCTGGGGGACGGGGGGGAGGCAGGCTAGTCATCAGGAAAGGGGCTCGGGCCCGACCATTCTACAGGGAGCAGAGGAGCGTCCCCTGTCCCCATCGTCTCCTGAGCAAACCTCTCCAGCACCACATGGAGGGCCTGTGACCGGACGTCGCGGCTGAAAGGGTAGCAAGCCCAGCCTGGCTGCCTGGCAGGTGGCAGCTTTGCTCCACCCCATTCCCTCTAGGGCTCTGCTCACTCATACAGAGCCTTTGCATGGTTTAGGAAAATGGGGTACTCTCAGCTGCCAGGGGGTTCTCTGTCCAGGTGGAGGCTGCCGGGCAGACAGCTGACTGGCCAGGCATCTGGCAGGATTTTGGTGCCAAGCCCTCCCCTGCCAGGCACCCTTGTGTAGGGAGCCATCCTCCAGGTGATCCAACAGAGGAGTCTGCACCCCTTTCAGCTATTCTGTTGCCCCAGCCCCACCGGAGCCCCACCTGGCTGCTGTTGGAGAAGGCGTACAGGGCCAGGGGCTTCTCCCGATGGTTGATGAAGTCAATGGCCTCGTCCAGGCTCCTCACATTCATGATGGGCAGGATGGGCCCAAAGATCTCCTCCTGCATCACCGGCTCCGTCTCCTGCACATCCACCAGCACCGTGGGGGCTGCTCGGGCACAGGGGACGGCTCAGCCCCAGGCATGGGGCCTCGGGCAGGGCCCAGGAACCTGGGGCTCCAGGCTCGGGAATGTTCTAGGGAAGAGAGTCTCCCCATAGCCCCTGAGAAGTAACCAGGAACCGGGGTCCAGAGAACCCCCAGCTTGTTCTTACAGTCTCGGGGTGACTGCATCTCAGACCCCTGGAGCCCAAGGTCCCAGGTCCCAGCCTGTTGGAGCAGCAGCGTCACCACTGGGTTGTGTGGCCCAGAGGCTGGGGCTGCTTTGTAAGGACAGCCCAGTGGGTGCTCAGGACAGAAATTGTGGGCTCACAGGACCTGGGATCCCGGCCTTGGTGCAGCAGATGGTGGTATAGAAGCTGGGAACCTGAGCACCTGGGAGCTGTGGGGACCCAGCTCAGAATCCAGGGCTTGGACCAGAGTGGAGTCATGGGGCCACAGTAACGTGGCATTAGTGCCCCAGAATCGTGGCACCAGAGCTGTGGACCCAGCTAGGCTCCACCAGTGGGGCTGTGGGAACCTCAGGGCCCAGCTTGGCCTCCAGCATGGAGGGCCTTAGCCTGGGGGTCCTGTGGTCGGGAGAGCTGGACTCACCAATGTAGCGGTCACTCTCCTCACTCTGGCCCCCGATGGCCACGCGGCCACAGCCCAGCAGGCCCCGGAGCCGCTGGAAGTGCTTCTCATTGATGATGCGGCCCAGGTCTGGGGAGCTCCTGGGGTCTTCGCCGTAGAAGCAGGTGATGGCGCTCTGCAGGGCGGACACCAGCCGCTCCTGCACCTCGGGGCTGCACAGGATGTAGTTGGGGGCCACGCAGGTCTGGCCAGCGTTGAAGTAGCGGAACAAGGCCACGCGGTTGGCCACGATCTGGGGGTCGCAGTTGTCGTCCACATAGCAGGGGTTCTTGCCCCCCAGCTCCAGTGTGACGGGCATCAGGTGCTTGGCGGCTGCGGCCATGACAATCTTGCCAACTCGAGGGCTCCCTGGGGATATGGGTTGACCTCCATCTTCAACTGGCTTTGGCCAGATGGTTCAGGCACCACCTCAGATCTGCCCTTGGCCGTGTCGCCCCAGGATCCCACCCCTCCAAGGCCCAGAGGCCTGGCTGGTTGCCCTCTGGGACTCTCCTCACTGCAGGCCACAGCCACCTACCCTCACGGCCTTTTCAACCCTGCTCTGGGATGTCCCTGCTCCCCCTAGGACACTGGCGGGGCCATCCTCACCCGTGAAGAAGATGTAGTCGAACTTGTGTTCCAGCAGCTGCCCGGTCTCCTCGGGCCCACCCAGCACCACGGCAAAGCAGCTCTGCGAGGAGGGGCAGGTAGCTCAGGGGACACCGTGGACCCCGGGGATAGTTTGGCCTCCGAGGCTGGCAGGGGCAGGAATGAGAGACACTGGGGCTGATGGGGCAGAGCCACACTCACCTGGTCCAGGTACTGAGGCAGCACCTCGGCCAGGACCCTCTCTGTGCCCCGGCTGATTTCTGATGGTTTCAGCACCACGCAGTTCCCTGCAGGAGCAGATCGGGGACACAGTGGGGCGCTGCTGTCCCCACACCCACCCAGGGGCTGGCATCAGAAAGCACAGAGGCAGGGAGGGTGGGTGAGGCTAGGGGCACATGATGGAATCCTGAGGCTCCCCGGTGGGAGGGGCTGTGGGCCAGGGGGGCATAGGACTCCGACCCTGTCCTCACCTGCGGCCAGGGCGCCCACCAGGGGCAGCAGGCTTAGGTACACAGGGTAGTTCCAGGGGCTGATGATGACCACCAAGCCGAAGGGCTCCTTTCGGATGAAGGTGGAGCTCAGCGTCATTAACTGGGGTACAGGAGAGATGGTGAGGTCTAGCCAGGGACCCCCCCAAAGCCCCCTACTTCCAGGGTCCTTGAGGTGCCTGTGCAGTGGCGTCCCCATGAGGACACAGAGGTCCTGAAGAAGTCAGTGACTCGCCCTTGGTCAGTGTGGCGAGGGGGCCTGGGTTGGAGCTGCCTCTGGCGCAGACAGCAGCTCACCAGGTTCTTGGCCACCAGCTGGTCCTCCATCCAGGTGTGCAGGTTCTGGAGCGCCAGGGCCACCTCCTTCTGGCACAATATGAGCTCAGACAGGTCCGAAGAGAAGGCCGACTGGATGGGTTGAAGGTCAAGTCAAGGGTCAGGCCGGGGGCAGGATGGGGAAGAGATCTGGTGTGTGGGGTCCCTGCCCTGGACATGGATACAGTCTCCAGGGACAGCACAGCTGGTCCCATGAGCACTGCACGGGCCCTGGACCAGGTGGCCTGGGCTCCAAGCCAGCTCTACCACTTCCTGGCTGTGGGACCAGGAAGTAATATAACCCTCACGTGCCTCAGTTTCCCCATCAGTAACATGGGGACAGCACTCGAGCCTGCCTCGCAGGTTTGAGGAGTTAATGCTGAGAGCACCTGTGGGCACTGCGTGCCAGGGAAGGTCTGTGAGATGAGCGGGAATGAGCTGGGGACATGGCCGGCTCCTGCCCTCCCCTCCCCTCCCCTCCCCACCTTGTGCAGGTCCTGCGCCAGCGCCTCTTGCAGAAGCTGCTTGTTGTCCTGCAGGAAGCGGCCCAGGCCCCTGAGCTGGGCGGCCCGGAACTCCGCAGGCCGCGTCCGCCCCGAGCTGAAGGCCTCCCGCAGCCGCTGCAGCGTGTCCTCGAAGGGGTCCATCCTGCGGGGGGAGTGGGAGCGTGGGCTGGGGCTCCCCACCTTCTGGACACCCACCCTGCCTCTGCCCACCCCCACAGTGAGGGCTCACAGGCACCCTCACTGGGACTCACATGTAACCCCAGGGGGCCAGGGCTGGCCCTGCACCCCACAAACACATGCGCCTGCCCACATTCATGCCTCCCCGCCCCCACCCAGAACACCAGACCACAAGCCAGATTAGACAAGCAAAGCAACTGGTGCTGGCTCAGTGGGTGTTCCCGGCTGAGGAATGGGGGAGATAGGGGCAGATGCTGGGTAGCCCAGGAAACACCTGCTTCCCGGAGCAGCTGGGCTGGATGGGGCTGTTTGGGGCCCAGCTCTGGCCATGGGCACTGCCACCCGCAGTCCCAGAGTTGGCCTGGAGCTCCTTCAGGCTCCAGGACTGCCCGAGGGCGCTGCCTGGCATGCCAGCATCACCTGCCCGCGCCCCGCTTCCCTGCCCGGGGTTTGAGCAGCTCCTTCCATCAGCCCTGCTCTAACTTCGCCCACCGCTCCCTGGGGCCTCTCTAGGCCTCCATGCCTCGGCCCTGAGTCCAGGCCCGGAGCGGAGAAGTCTGGAATGAACTGTGGCGCCTAGATGTCCTGCCGTCCATCCCCGGACCCGAGCCCCAGCTCAGGCATCATTTCCCTGCCTTCCTCAGCCGTCACGGTCTGTGTCCTCGCTGTGCACACCGGAATGCCTGGGACAGCTTCAGGCTTAGCTTGTACGCAGCCCCATCCGCAGGTGCAGACCCAGCATTGCCCAGTAAAACGAGGAAGCAGACCATTGGGGGGCGGGGGCTGGTGTCAGCAGCGTCCCCAGAGGGGCTGGAGCTGGACAGCTGGTCCTGCCTCTCACCTGTGGTGCTTCCTTCCCTCGCCACCCACTGCGGGAGCAGGAACCCGGGCCGACGAGGGCCTCCCGGCTGCCTACCCGGCAGGTGCTACTGGACCTGCCCTCTGCGGCAGAGCTGCCAGCCCTCGGGAGGAACTCACAAGCCTAGACAGGGGACAACAATGACACCGAACACAAGGGCCTTACAGCCATGAGTGGGAGCTGCCAGCCCTGGGGGAGGCTGGCTAGAGACTCCTACCGCGGAGGGGAGCAGGGGATTTGGACAGAGGCCCAGTGTGTGCAAAGGCCCTGCGACGGTGGATCGTGAGAAACAAGATGCAGCTGGGCAGGAGCTTCCCTGGGGAGTCGGGATTTATTCCAGGGGCAGTGGATGTACCATGGCACCCAGGGGGGAAGCAGAGCTGGCGTCTGGAGCTGAACATACGGCGTGAGTCCTCTTACCTGGGCCTCCAGGCCTTACTGTCACCCATCGTAAGCATGAGGAAACCTAGGCTCCGAGAGGCCACCTGAGTTGCCCTCCCAACCGCTGTGATGTGGGGGTCCAGCCCCCCCCCAGCCCTCCCCTACAGGCCCTGCCAACCGCGCCAGCCTGTGCCTGAGCTTTCTATCGACTTCTCAGCAACTTTCCGCAGCTTCCAGATCATCTACAGTGAGAACGCAACACTTCCAGGACCCGAAACGAACAGTGTCGCCTTTATAACCTGGAACCAGACTCAGTCCCGTTCCTCTCCTCTGCTCTCCGCACAGCCTGGAGACACATGCTTGGGCCCTGTCGGTCCCCACCTCCCCCCAACCTGGGAGCCCCTCAAGGGAGGAAGGGGTCTGTCCCCCCCCGGGGGCCAGGCCAGCCCTGGGCCGGGATGGTTTCCTCTGAGGCTGCTCCCAGGTGTGTCCACGGGGGACAGTGAGATTCGGACAGTGGAACTGAGCTGAGGACACTGGGCTCAACCAGGGCAGGACGGCATCTACCCCTGCGTGGAGCGAAGCGCCCGCTGTGGCCCCACATGCCAGTCCCTCCGCGCTGATGCCCCGGTGCCTTTCACTCCCCGGCCCCTCTGGCCCGCCCCTCGCCCCCATGGCCCCACATACCCCAGTGTGGGCTGCGACCTTGGATCCTTCACTGGACCTTTGCCCTCTGTGCCCGACATTCTGCCTCCAGATGAGCCAACTCTGCCCCTGCCCAGGTCTCACACCGTCTCTGCCTCCTGCTCGTCCTCCCGGGAGACACTGGCTACCACGAGGCGGCCTCTGAGAGGGGTGCAGCACCTGGGTGACACGACAGACCCACCGGGCCAGTCCACCTGCCCCCAGGTCACACACCTACACTTCTCCCTGCCCTCAGCTGATCTGGAACAGGTGTGGTAAGTCCAGGCTGTCAGGAAATTACCTGACAAACAGAAAAACCTGGGGGTGAGAGCGGGGGTGGAAATTACCGGATGAAAGTATCAGCAGAACCCTGGCAGCAAATGATGCCTCCTCCAGGAAGCCCTCAGTCAGCAAAGCTCTATAGCCCACCCAGGTCCCTACACCAGGTCCTCATGTCCACCACCCCACCCACACCACAGGTTCCTTCATCTGCACTCTCCTCCGGCGCCTGCCTGGCATCCTCCCGGCAGAAGAAGCGGCCCGGCTGCAGCAGAGAGAGCCTGCGCTGGCCAGGGCAACTGTGGCTGCAGAGCGGTGCATCCTTCCTTTGTTCCTTTAAGCTCCTATTTACTGTGTGACCCTGAGCAAGTGGCTTAACCTCTGAGTCTCTCTGCGGTAACGATAGTGCTTAACTGCCATGGTTCTTGAGAAAAATCACCTGGTAAGAAGCATAGCTCCTGGTACAAAGTCAGAGTCCACAAATGCTGGCTCTTCTTTCTGCAAGTATTTCTCAAGCACTTCCTAGGTTCTGGGAAGCAGGTCAACCGTTCCACGCGGAGCATGTGAGAACCTGTGCGCGCCCACACACCTGAGGTCATCCTTGGCTGTGACGGGAGCCAGCCCAGTAGGAGCTACAGTCCCCCACAAACACAGTCCCCCACAAACACAGTCCCCTATAGCCCAGAGGGAGCCACAGTCCCCACAAACCCCAGTGGAGTCAGCGCCGCACCAGGAAGGAAAGTCAGGGCAGGGGTGTGGATGGCGTGACTCAGGAGGCCTGGCACCCCACCGCCGTTCACGTCAAATGCGTGACTGTATCTCAATAAAGCTGTTAAAACAAAACTGAACCAACAAGAAGCCTGAGGAGCCCACAAGCAAACGAAAATCTGCTCAACCTCCAACAACTGGTAAAACGTAAAATAAAGCAATTGTAAGACGCCCTTGCGAACACATTGCCTCGGCTGTGGAGGCCAGAGTCCCAAATCAAAGTGCCTGCAGGGCTGCGCTCCCTCCTGAGGCTCTGGGGCGTGTTGACCTTCAAAATAACAGTTATTTTACCAGTAAAATGGGTTAATTTGGAACAGCAAAGACTTGCAATTCGGGAGGCGCAAGCTACAGCCAAAGCCACAGGCAAGTCCCACAAACAAAGGAGAGGGACGTTATTTTATGGAGAAGGCAGCCTGACCCGGCCTGGCAGCTATATCAGGGTGTTGAGACTGTCCGGATGGTAGACGTGACCGAATCAGGTAAGACCCCTGGGTGTGGGGCCCAAGACAAGCCTGGTAAGTAAGTTTCCGGGTCACTGGAGGGACCTGCCCCTTTCTCGGGTCGCTCCCAGCAGGGGGTGGCTTTCGGAGCACATGGGGAAGCTCCTGAGGTTTTGAACCCAGTCATTCAACGTTACCCTGGACTGCTTTGCGTGTTTTTAAACCTCAGACCGTGAGTGTTGGGCGATTACAAAGGTCGCTGCCAGGAGCACCGGGTGCTGCTTCATGTCTCCCGTGGGTGTGGCCGGGGCAGTGGAGCAGGCAGACGACACATTCCGCGTAGCCGTAGCCTTCCCAGGTACACTGCATGTGGCCTGCACGTGGCCTCCAAAGAGACCGACTAAATGAAACTGCACCTGCTCTAGGCACCCCAACACCAGGAAGGGTGTCAGTGGACAGCCCCCTGAGTCGAGGGGAGAGCGCTGTCCCTGCCTCGGTGCTTACCAGTCTCCTAGGAGGAAATTCAAACGATGGCGTTGCAGTGAAGCCAATTTATTAAAGAGGTGAAGCAAGGAAACTTCCTAAAGAAACAAGGCAAGCGAATCTATCAAATGGCACCTGCCTGGAGCGCAGCGGGCCAAGGGCTCATGCACCCCCGTCCCTGGGCTTTAAGTCCCTCCGCGGGCATCGGGGTGCACACGGACTCCCTGGGTTCCCGTTTACTCTGCACGGCTTTCCCGGAACTTACTGGAAGCCCCTGGCAATTTCATCTTGCCGAGCCCTGCGACTGCCGGCTTCTCTGCTTAAACACGGAGATGAAAACTCTGTCTTCTCTCCTCCTTTCCCCTTCCAGCCTTGGCAGTTCCAGGGTGGCGAGAAGAGGCATTAAAACTCCCCTCCTGCCCCTGCCCTGCCCTGCCCCCTCCTGCCCTGCATTCTTTGGTTGGTGAGAACAGGGGTATTAATTAACCACTTGCTCTCAAAACAAGGTCCTGCTGCAAACTGGCTGGAAGCTGCCTGGCCTTGTTTCATTTTCTTGCCTCAGTTTCCCTGTCCCTCCCGTCCTGGAATTTTCCTCGCTTCTCAGTATCCAGTAACACACCTAAGGCCGTACGCGATTCCCCGCGGACGCACCTCTTTTCCAACACTTGGGATTGTCAGGCTTTTTACCTTTTGCCAATGACTCTAGTGGGTGGAATGATGCTCCCCTCCCCCACCCCCCAAAAAAGGTATGTCCATGGTCTAACCCTGGAATCTGTGGATGTGACCTTATTTGGAAAATAAGATAAAATTACAGATTTAATTAAGTTAAGGCTCTTGAGATGAGATTATCCGGGATTGTCTGGGTGGCTCTGAATACAATGGCCAGTGTCCTTCTAAGAGAGAGAGAGATTTGAGACAGAAGAGACGGCCACGTGAAGATGAGGCAGAGACTGGAGTGACACGGCCACAATCCAGTGACGCCTGGAGCCACCGGAAGCTAAAGGAAGGAGCCTTTAGAGAGGGCATGGCCCTTCAACGCCTTGACTTTGGACTTCTGGCCTCCAGAACTG